CCTAATCATGAATCTATATGTGGTAGAGACACATTTTAGCTGACTTAATTTCTGGGCATCTATGTTTGCTGCATTCCCACAAGGGGCAAAAATATGGACCTTGGCTACTTCTTCACACTCCCAGTCACTGTGACTATGATTGCACATAGCCATCCAAAAATGGAGGTCTGTCTCCTCAGGATTAGAATATCAACCTGTGCACAAGTAGTATTTCATAGGGGTGTGAGAAACAGGCCATATTCAATTCAATTTTTGTTGATTTGGATCACTATCCCCAATTCAATTCGGCTGAATCCGAACCTGAAGATTCAATGCTGATTCAGAGAATCAGTGATTCAGCTGTAGATACAGCTTTAAATGTTTTTTCTACATACTTCAAGGAACTAGGTGGCTTGTGAATGCTGCAATGCAGGGGTGGGTGGAGCGCCCCACAAGACCCAAGGAGGGGGTTCCCCCCAGCGCGCTTGGCAGCAGACTGGGAAGTGGACCAGAAGTACTTCCGGTCCACTTCTGGGTCCACTGGGGAGTGCACTGGGGACCACCCCCCCCATGCCCTCACGGCTTGGCAATTGGCCTCAGGGGGACCCCAGGTGCCCCCCAGACCCAGGAAGCACCAGTTGCCAAGCCAGGGAGAAGTGGGGGAGCCCCCCTGCATGCTCTCTGGCAGACCCAGAAGTGGATCAGTGCTTCTGGTCCACTTCCAGGTCTGCTGCCAAGTGTGCTGGGAACCCCCCTACCCCTCACACTCCTGTGGGGCACTCCATCCACCCCAGCATCACAGCATTCATGAGCTGCCTGGTACCTTGAGGTATGTAGAAAAAACATTTAAAGCTGTGTCTATGTCCGAATTGCTGAATCTTCCCATATCTCTCCAAATCAATTAGGAGGATTCCAATTCAATTCAGAGAAATTAAAGGGTCTCCTGATTTGATTTGGATTCAGTGATTCAGGCACCAAATCAGGCCGCATGTCTGCCAGATTGAATTGGTGACCAAATTTTAACATTGAGCTTACCAACAGTGTCATGTAGATGATCAAATGTGGGCACTTAGGAAGAGAACAGAAAGTAACCTCAAGTAAACTGGGACCAGACGGTTTAGCTACTGCTCATGGTTCATGGTTCTGTCCCTTAAACCCTTCAATAGTTTCCATTTTAGACTGCAAACTATTCTCCTCTGTCTGGAAAGTCCTATCGGTTGTATTAGCTACAATTTGTCATTGTCTTTTTGTGAATATTTAGTTATATGTACTTTGTGAGGTTCTGTTAAATGCATATCTGTTTATAACTAAAACGTGTGAATTCTTTTAAGCTTCACTTAGTGTAACTTCTCTATTTTACCATATTGAAAGTGAGTAAATTTGCAAAGGAAAGAGAAGCAAAGTGCATTGTGTTTTAAGTGCAAATGCAGATTTTCAAGCCATCCAGGTTTTCATTTATGCACAAAGTTGTGCCATGTCAACGCAACAGATAAGTGGCCCTCAAATGAAAATGTACCATGAAGCTCACATAGAACATAAATTTTAATCAGAGAATTAGGACTAGGACATCTGGAATCCAGTTTGACCTGTAATGGATTGCCACTCCCTAGTTTTAAAAGCTAGAGAGCATCTCCCAGCAGTTTCAGAAACTTGGGTGTCCTGTAGTTCTCAGCTGGTAAAAATAATGATGTTACATCACTTCAAATAGAAGCTGAATTTATTTTGAAAAAAAAAATATGAAATTTCTGATACACAAACCCAGTGGAATCCCACTTTTCTAAATGGAACTAACTGCATCAACTACAAATCATCAGAATTTCCCATGATGAGACCTAACTGTGAGAATCTAAAACCTATTTAAATTGAATCTTCTGGGAAGGTATATTTCAGAATCCATTCTCATAAGAGCAATAAATAGCTATTTCATGAGAAATTCAGCCCACAACCACATATCTTTGGTTTCATCTACCATGCATTGCGAGACTCCACTGCCCACATCTCTTCAGGTCAATATCGACCCATCCACCACCATTCTCTGGGTGCAACCCCTAAGCCAATTTGCCACCCACCAGACTGTGTAATCATCTACATCACAGCCTGTCAGTTTATTAATGAGAACAGAATGAGATACCATATCGAAGACCTTCTTAAAGTTTAGGTAGATGACATCTACCTCGACTCCTACCTCTAAGCATTTTGTGACCTGGTCATAAAAACAAACAAGGTTAGTCAGGAAGGATCTACCTGCAATGAATCTGTGCTGATTTCCTTTCAGCATTATTTCCCCTGCTGGGCTCCCACAAATGTGATGCTTAATGATTTTTTTCTGGAGTTTTCCCAAGGATAAAGGTGAGACTAACTGGCCTATAGTTTCTCAGTTCCTCCCTCCTCCCCTCCTTGAAAATAGACATTGGCCCTTTTCCAGTCCACTAGGACCTGACCGGAGCACCATGAGTGCTTGAACAGCCATGTCAGCGACTCTGCTATGACATTGACCAGCTCCTTCAGCACCCTTGAATGAAGGTTATCTGGGCCTGCTGATTTGAACACATCCAGTACCTACAAGTGCCCCTTCATTATGTCTGTGCTAACAGATGGTGGGCTGGTGTCCCTCCTGTATCTATCTATGATCCAATTGGGAGATTCTTCTTTGGTTATGTCTAGGAATTAAGATGCAAAGAACTCAATGAAGAGCTCAGCTTTGGGAGCAAATTGGAACTGGGTGGAGCACTTTAGGCCAGGGCTCTTCTTGCACACCACCAATAAAGCACCCTCTTCCCCATGTAACTATTTATAAGTGTATTTTTCAGAATGTTGGGGGTTGGGAGTGTGGGCACCTATGGTGCAGAGCCTGGAGGGAGGTTCCCTACACACCAGCTTTTGTCACCACCACCTCAGGTTTGGACACCAAGGTGAACCCAGCGGGCTGGCCACAGGGTGAGGGCAGAAACTGCCCAGCCTGCTCAGCACACCCCCACTCCTTCTTCATGGGACCCAGAAGAGCCCGTGTATGGTATTAGCCCTGCTGCAGCCTGCTCCCACTCAGGGGCTGCATGGAGGTGGGGTAAGCGGTGGGTAAAATCAGGGACCTGGCCACCAAGGGGCTGGGGCTCTGGTCACTTCAGGTGGTGCTGCAACTCCTCTCCACCCACTGCAGGGCTTGACACAGGCCCACCGGTGGCTGCAAGGGCCAGCCATGGCCAGGGCCAAGGTGTGGGTGCTGGGCAGCACAAAAGAGACTGTCAGGGCCAGTACCATGTCCAGGATGCATTAGTTATCCTCAATGACTTCCACCACCCAGTGCTGATGCTCCTGGGCCTCCAGCTGCCCTCTTGGAGGATGACCTGCCTCTGCAGGAGTGTGAGGTACAACCAGTCCATCTTGCAAACCTTGAGGCTCCAGGTACCACTCCCCCTGAGCCACTCCTTGGAAATGGTGACCAGCCACTCCAGAAGAGGCATCCAGTCCTGGCTCCAGTGTTGATGGAGCTGATGCATGTGGAGCAGAACTGCTGAGGGTGGCAGCAGCCTTGGGACCCCCATCTCTACTGATGGCAAGTGGTTCTCTGCTGTTTGCAGCAGCTGGTTCTGCAGAGCAAGGATAGAGAGGCTCATTGTGATAGTTTGCAAAATTTCAGAGGTAAGATGCGCTGTACAAAGGGGTTGTGTGGCACCTGCCCTAATTTCGAGGGTTGTGCATGCATAGGTGTCCAGGGATCATGGTAAGTTGTCTAAATGGGATCTTCCACAGGCAACTTCTGGACAAAACTTCTCTTCCTGCTTCCACAGAGGAGGCAGACAGGTCACTTGCCACTTCCTACAGGCACCCTGCCTTTCCTGTACCTATCCAGGCCAGGACATGGATGGCCCTTGCCAGCAGCTGCTGTGGAGGCTCTGGAGCAACTCCCCCTCTTCTCCTCCCTTAAAGCCAGGCACTTCACTCCCATGCCACCAGAGTCATGGCGCACAGGTTCTCAGCATGAGAGGCTCCCACCCAGCTGGGATGTGGACATCCTCCCCTCCCTGCCAGTGGCTATCTCCAGAAAGGCACCCTGGGCCAGGGCTCCCACTGCACAGGGGCTGCTCCCCAAGTGTACCCCTGGTAAGAATCACCCAGGAGCTCCATGATGAATTGTTTGA